AATGCTGATTATCTTTACATTAAGACTTTGAAATTTAAAAGAAATCGATGGATTTTTGCGGGCACAAAAAGGCAAAGAATTTTAAGACCACTGTTTGAATATCGACTTGTGTCGGCAATCGCGGCATCAGATTAAAACCTTARAYACAMMAYCAGAAGGTTTAAGGATTCAACTATCACATATGTGAAAATCAGAACTATACCAGCATTTTTGATGCGAAGCGAGCGATTTAAAAAAAAGACAGATTTCACTCGCCGCTAGTTGGAAGTAACCTTAACGACTTCACATGACGTTATACTCGTTATGGATGTAAATTTGCCATACAGGTATGACAGCATCGGACCAGAATACTCAAGGGATCTGTGACTGACCAACATCAGCTTATTTTATTCTTTCATTCGCTAATTTAGCCGTGTTGATAAACATGGTATTTCCCAARAATKTCCTCAATAACCTGTTTATGTACAGGTGTATCTGGTTTACAAGTTACAAGTTTACAAGTTTAATTCAATAAATAATAATGGGGTATGTAGGGCTAAAAAATATTTAATAGTTTCATTTTTTATTCTCCTAGTTGGAGCGCCAATTGATGTGGGAAAATGTGAAAACCCAACAATAGAACACGTTCAACGGCTTCATGACAGTTATGAAGAGAAACTAGTAGAGTTATTTGAAACACATAAAATGAAGTATGGTCTTACTGAAGAAGATAAGCTTACTGTGTTGTAGAATCGATACGAAGAACCAACAAGTGTTATCATACTGGACTTGTCTATCCTTAATGCTCGAGTAGTACAAATGATTTAATAATCAATAAAAGATCAATGAGTCATATTGACGTTTGTAGTCATATAAGTGATTTTTTGAGGAATGCCTAGTTGTTTTCATGGAGCTCCTACGTGATCAGAACACTATAAATAGGTAAAACATGACGTCCATTTTCATACACTGATACGCACCGATCCCTTCCCTCGCAAAACTTTATCAAAGAAGTAAACAAACAACTTCATCAATTTATTTGGAATGTAAAGGACAAAGCTGACAGAAAATCTCTCATTAGCTCTTTTTAGAGCGAAAGCGAGCCGAGCACCACAGCTAAGAAAAAAATGATTTTTCACGTACGGACACAGGGTTCCMGCGCGTACGTACGTTTCCTTACTTCCCAACCTCGTACCCAGTGCCTTTTTCGGAGAGGGGAAAAGGCCTAGCATCGGAGAGCATCGGCCGGTCAAATATGAATTATTAATTGGCTAAGATTTTTCTCTATTTTTATTGGTTGACCGTTTCTTTTGTTGTTTTTTTTTGTTTTTTGTTTTGTTCCGGAAAAATTGAATAGATTATTTACGTAGAGTTTCTCAGTGGAAGTAATACAAGGATTCAGCGCCAAAAGACGCTGAAATTATAAAAAGAAAACGTGAAGGAGTTCACCATGTACTAGTAACAGTAACTAATGTGAAGACAGATGAATATTCGTGAGCCAAAGAAAGTGAAAAAGACGCAAAAGCATTGTCTCATTTTTGCTTTAAAAACATTGTATTGCAATACTTTACGAGCCACCATTTAGAATACTGTATTGTAAATAATATATATTAGAGTTTGATCGTATGAGGAAGTAGCTGATCCCATTAAAGAGTGCTCAATACACATAAAGTGTAGAGATAGTTATATATATGATATCAAAGAGGCAAGATTTTGCTGTAACTCCGAGTTTCGTGCTATGCATGCACTCATCAGACAGTATTTAATGATAAACATTCCTATAATCTAGATATATATACATGGTATAGAACAAAAGGCTAAGTGCTAGGCTATTTACATACAATACGTGATAGTTATGCTAGAAACAATAGGTGTGAAGGTAAAAATTACAAAGGAGAGTATACTGTTCGAACATTGGCAGAGCATTCCTGAAACTCATATCTAAGCACTTCCCGAACCAGCATAAATACCACAGCCTCTTCAACAAAAACAACGTAAAAGTCAGCTACAGCTGTATGGACAACATGAAAACAGTTATCAACAAACACAACATGAAAGTAACAAATGCCGACAACAACGCCAACGCAACCACCGGAGAACAATGCAACTGC